GTGGAGGCAGGCGGGGGCTCGGAGTCACGGATCCTCTCTGCGGATGCTCCGGGATGCTGGCACAGCTGGGAAGCCCTGCCTGCTGTGGAGGGAACCCTACACCAGGGCTCCCAAGTAGCCTGGGGAGAGGGTGAGCTGCAAGACCACCCTGCAGTGCCACAGAGAGGGGGTGCCATCCCCCTAAAGCTGGAGAGCTGGGGAGCCGGCTGGGAGCAGGCTGCCTGGCGAGCTCTGCCCTAGCTTTGCAGCTCTGCCTTGTGCAGAAGCGCAGGCGTGAGCCTGAACTCCAACAAAAATGGTTACTGGGGCGGGTTGGTTTTTTCCAAGGTAGATGTTAAGTGCTGTGTCTTCACAGGGAGTGCTTTTATTTTAAAATCAGAGGAGACAGGGTGGTTTTTATTCTGCAGAGCACCAGGAGAGGCCATGGATGGATGTATTTGCCATAATAGCCTTTCTGGCAGGTGGGGAAAAAGAGCAGGAAAAATTAATCTGCAAAGCAAAAAAAATGTAAGGAGTCAAAACATTTTGGCAGCTGAAGGTCTGGAGTCACTCAAGCTCTTGATACAGCTACGGCCATGCAAAACTGCTATGAGGGAGGGTAAAGTCTATGCCCAAAAATGACATCAAAAGGGTGCTCGCTCAGGAAACCAGCAGGTCTATATTTGTGCAATTGATGTTTGCTGAAGTCGCAGATCACAACTGAATACACTTCCTGTCAACCTAAAAAGTCAAGTTTAAAAAAAAAAAACAATCCACGCCGTACCCCTCATTTCCCGGAAAACTTTTTCATGCTCTGTCATCCTGTATTGTGGCCGTTTCAAACGCAGCTCGGTACAATCAAAATAACTTCTACAAAGGGCGCCAAGGATGTTGCAGATTTCCGCCTCATTTTTTTTTTACGTGATACACGGTTTATTTGAGTTTCTTGTGCCCGGTCTGCACCTGAGCCTATCTGCAAAGCCAAGCCTCTTCCTGACCTTAGCAGGGATCAGGATAAATGTGGGTGCATGGGGCGTTTCATCTGTCTTTCCTTTTTTTATGTCTGCGAGTTCCCTCTTTAGAGTAAGAGCTCACCCGGATGGCAGCTGCTGTCCAAGGGCGTGTTCGTTGGGAGTCTGGTGCACGAAAACAAATTTGTCAGGAAGGCTCTCCTCCAAATTTTTGGAGCTTGATGGTATGCACTTTCTCTGTCCTGGCCATGGGAGTGTCCAGCTCCAACTCCTTTCCATGCACATGAGATTTCCTCATGTTATGAAACATGATGTCTGAGCTCCAGTCACTCTGGTTTGTTTTGCTTGGGTTTTAGGTTTCATTCAGCAACTAGTGAGGGCTATTTGGGAACAGTTGGGGCTCTGCCTTTGGTGTGCATCCTTGGTTTGTGGAAATGTGCTGGCTTTCTGCAGTGGGATTGCTGCTGTTACAGATGGGGACATGGAGGAAACTGAGTCTCAGGGGACAGTGGGGTTCCTGGGAGGAGGCTGGAGGATTTGGGGTTGGCCTCTCCATACAAGTCACAAGGTTGGTGAGGTGTTTGTGTAAGGGGATTTGGCTCAGCGAGGGATTCCCCTTGGCTTGCTCCCAGGAAAGAGGCTTACTGCAGGGTCTGTGGGGTGTTGGGGGCAGCGGGGTGCTCTGAGGGAGGCAAATGGTGATCCTGCCTTCGCAAAAGCTCTCCCAGCACTCTGAAGGGCAGGAAAACTCTCATATTTATCCGAGTCTGCTGGTGGAGGCAATAAGCTAATAAGCCTGACTGTCCTTGCTCCACGTCTTACGTTTCCTTGTCTCCGTTTGATGAGGATATTGATATTGGATATTTCTGATGGTTTTTTCAAAGCAGGGAAGTTATGCTTCTCCTGGTTTTCACCAGGCCTGGAAAGCCAGCAGCCTCCCAGTGCAGGATCATGGAATCACAGAATGGTTTGGGTTAGAAGGGACCTGAAAGACCATTGAGTTCCAACCCCCTGCCATGGGCAGGGACACCTTCCACTAGACCAGGTTACTCAAAGTAGACCACAGGGGAAGCAGAGGAGCAAGGTGGACTTGCTGCCATCCCAACAGTGTCCCCAGGGGTGTCCAGGGTCCATACCCACTCCCCAGTCCTGTGGCAGCTCTGGGGTGGGAGCTGGTTGAGTTTTCCTTTGGAATATCCCGGTCTTTTCCCTTGTGATGTGGTGGGGAGGAACCACGTGTGGTGGGTGCTGAGGTCTGGTCTGGGCAGGCTTTCTGGTGACCTTCATTACGTTGATGGAAAGTGCTTTTGATCTAATTCCTTCTCCCTTCTGTCCCTGCAGGATACAAAGGAGGAGGTCTCAGAGAAACCAAAGCCTGCTCCGACTGCAGAGAAATATGGCTGGATTAAGAAAAGCAGCGGAGGGCTCCTGGGATTGTGGAAGGATCGTTACATCCAGCTACGGAAAACACAGCTCGTGGTCTTTGAGGATGAGGTATGGTCACAGCAAACGGCTTTGAATGAGGGGTAGGATCAGGCCCTTGGTGACACACATTCCTACATTTTTCACTCTTCCCTCCAGCCCATTCCTTTCAAAAGGGCTTCTCCAGTTATCTCCAGGAAGGTTATACGCTATAAAGAAGAGACAGCAGCTGCATTTTAGAGTATATTGTATATCATGAATATTGTAGCCAGTAAATATTTTGACAGTGCCACTGCCAAAAAAAAAAAAAAACCAAATGGGGGCAGGACATCCTGTGAGAAGGTGAACAGAGCAAAGCCTTGGGTGGAAGCAGGATATGTGCTATGCGTTTTTGGCATTTAAAGGATAAAACTGGATTGTCGCAGGCTGAGTTCCCACCTGCTGCTTGAGGGAACGGCAGGCAACCTTGCAGCTGTTTGGCACCCCTCAAGCAGCTCAAATTGTTGCTAGCCAGACTCTTCAGGGTTCCGTTTAGATACCGATGGACGCAGGGAGAGGTTGTAAGTGCTTGCTGTCTTCCTTAAGCAGGAACACAGTCTGGATTTGGCTCATCCTTTCCCTTTACTTGAGCCAGTACTGAGCAAAGGACCCCTGGGAGCCTTGTTCTGGACTTCTCGAGATAAACTGCTTGCCTTAAATTCATGGCCTCGCTTAAAGCTGTTTCTAGTCAAATGAGAAATAAGAGCCAAGCTGAATCTGTCCTGTATCTTCATGCGAGAAGAACGGAGAGTGCGGGGTTGGTCCTGCTGGGCTGCAAAGCTGGCTCTGTCCTGAGCCAGGCCCTCGGTTTCTGGGCTGGAAAGGGCTTCTGCAAGAGCAGAGTTTGCCCCAAAAAGTTAGAAATTCCTGTGCAGAGCACAAGCTGCAAGACAGAGAGGTTTGAGATTAAGGGTGGGTGAGTGAGTCTAAGCCCTGCTGGTGTACAGGATCTTGAAGTTCTCCATGAGGATGGAGAAGCATTTCTCACTGTGTGTCTGCATGAGGACCACGTGCCCGTGCGGTGTCTGACACAAGGGGATCTGGCTCATTCGTGGGCGTTGGGATGATACGAAAACAAAATCATGTATAGCTTCTGTGCAGTGTGTCAAGGGAAGAAGAATGGGGAAATATTTCAGCATCTGCATTGCTGTGATGGTTTCAGGAACAACAGGACTGACAAATGACTTTGGTTCTCTTTTTTTAAAAAACATACAATTGCCTAATAAAGAAGATTTGTTATAAACAGTTTAGGTTAAAGAGTATTACCTCCTCCCATACTCTGAACCCTCCCGCTCTTCCTGAATTCCAAAGCTTTCTGGAGGTGTTTGTTCTTAGTTTTGAAATGTCATGAAAAGTGCAAGAATAATGAAATGAGGACTCCATGTCAGGTGATGAGCAGCTTGGAAGGCAGGCGAAGCAGTGGGGGTTTCACTTACGCGGAGAGATGCAGCCTGGTCCTCCTAACGGTTGACTGTCTGCAGATGGCTTCCCAGTGCCCCGGACACTTGTTGACTCCAGCTGAAGCTCCAGGAACTCACATAAACAAATTTATAAACATGACGTAGGTTTTTTTTAAAGGGCATGCCTTTAAAAACAAGATATATAGAGGCTCCCATTACCACAAGGGAAAAAAAAAGAGGCTTTTAAAGTAAGATTGATTTTCACAGACATTCAGAAGAAGGAAAAATCCCAATCATTTAAAGGGTTATTTTATTATCTCAACAAGGAAAATGGCATTTGTAACAACCAGGCATAATGTTTTCTGGTAGCCTGCGGATTGTGGTAACATCCTGTAATAAATTGCATCTGTAAGCTGCAGCAGCTACAAGGTCCCATTATTGTAAATAAGGGATCATGTTAATATCTATAGGCTATTAAACTGGCTCACAGTGAAGTCAAATGTCCTAAGAGAGGAAATTGCTACAAAATTATCTGGTGGCACAATAGGATAGTGTGTGCTTGTGCAGGCTTACTACGGGGGAACTAAAGGAAATGGCAATTTTCTGCACTCCGGAGGGGTCCCATTGCCACAGAATTGAGGCAGTTCACGTTTATTACTCTATTTATCTTCCTTTAACGTGAGTTAGGGCAGTTTTGCTGTCTCCATCTTACAACTGGGGAACTGAGTTTTGAGATGAGAAGCGCCTTGCACAATGTCAGAGGAGCCTCTGTGGTGCAGCGTGATATGGTGGCTTTCATTTCTGCAGTGGGTTTTTTTCCCCACTGAACCTTCTCTACATACCTGCCCTGCTTTGTGTGACCCTGGAGACAGACGCAGCATCCCAGACCATCCTCTGGCTGAAACATTTTAAATGGGATTGTTCAGTCCTTGCTGAATTGGGGCCCTAGAAAAAGAAAGGAGATAAATTATAGAATGGTTTGGGTTGGAAGGGACCTTAAAGATCATCGAGTTCTACCCCCTGCCATGGGCAGGGACACCTCCCACCAGCCCAGGTTGCTCAGAGCCTCATCCAGCCTGGCCTTGAACCCCTGCAGGGATGGGGCATCCACAGCTTCTCTGGGCAACCTGGGCCACTGCCTCACCACCCTTCCAGTGAAAAATTTCTTCCTAATAAAGCCTCAGGTAACAGAAACACAAGTATATTTCCGTATGTATCCCAAGTTAGACCTACATGGGTTAAATGGGAGGGAGGTCAGCTTCCATGTGGGAGGGCAGGTTTGGAGGCTGAGTATTTCAGCTGGTCTGAGCCCATCAGATTTCCAGGAACTGAGCTAGCGACTTGGACACGTTGTGCTTTTTTATCAGTTCCTCATGTGTTCGAGCCGTTCACCAAGAGGTGCTAATACTGCCTTTAGCAGTTGTTTCACATGCAGGCATGCTTGTTTATGCAATTGCACGAGGCTGGCTGCACTCGTAGCTGAGGTTTGTGCGTGCAAAAGAAGAGCAGAGGGGATGGCCAACGTGAGATGCAGGCAATAATCTTGTACCATGTCACCGGAAAGTACAGTCTGAGCAGAACACAAATACTGTATTTATCATCATCAACAGCAATCTCCTGGAACGTGCTCCAGCCCTGCCCTGGGAGTGTGTTTCCCATCTTGCATCTGTTAGTCGGGCTTTTGGTTTGGTTTAAAGTGGAGCTACCTCCCGAAGGCAAATTGCGAATGGCTATTGTATTACCTGGAGCAGATGGGGGGTGACAGTCATCCCACCGGGCTTCAGGTTTCTTTTGGCGGTTGTGAAATGAAGGAAGATGGATTTCTTGTTATCTGCTGTGCCTCCATCTGCAGCACACCACATCTGTACCCTCACGTAAACTAAGAACCAAGCGGGCAGGTTATTTGCTAACGGGGTTTTTTGTCTTCTCTCTGCATATTCTTGCAAAAATAAAAATTAAGTGTTGCAAAACTACAGAGAGCGTCTGAAGAACAGGCAATTCTGTGCAGAGAGGCTACGCAGATCAGTATCATCGCTCCATGGATTAGAAAGCATCAGTCTTGGGTTTGGTTTCTTTTCCCTGAACAGTGCAGCTAGTGGTTAGAGTTGGTTTTTTGTTGTTTTGGGGCTTTTTAAAGTGTATTATTTGACAGGGGAAAAAAAACCTCCTAGGCAAAGAGTCTTCCAGGGACAAGAGGATCCACTCAGCATTTAACAGTCGTGCAGTTAACATCTGCATTTTGCCCCTGTTAGAGTGATTGCCATGTATACCCGAAAGTGATTTATTAAAATGCTTTGAGATCTTTAGATGGAGAAGTAAATTATTATTTCAGGCAGTCTAGACACTGTACACTGAATGGAGGGTCACAGCCCATGAATGTGTGTCAGCAAAGAGGGCTTTGAAGAGAATTCCCTGCCTTGATTGGCAGTGGGACAACCTTGAGAGCTGTGTGCTGCAGGGAGGTGCGACCACCGAGCAAGGACTCAACCCTTGTGTCTCAGGACGATGTAAAAGGATTGCTTTAACTTTTTTTGGAATGCTAGAGACCAAATGGAGCGGAAGTCTATCCAGAACATGTGTCTGAGACCCATGTGTGGGGGCAGGACTCTGGAATTGACCTTGTCTCTGTGTGATGCTGAGTATCCTCCGGGTCCCAGGAGGCTGGAGGGGCCTGGAGACCTGCAGCAGGGTCGGGTCATTCAGTCTTTATCTTAGTGGTGCAGGACAAACATAAAGGATCTCTTTGTGACCCAGGTAGGCTCACAGAGAGGGGCTGGATGCATGCCAAGCGTAAAACAGAGACAAAAGCCCCATTCTGGTGCTCCCTGAACTCAGATGCTTTTCCTTTGCTCTCAGATGTGGAGTTTTCTTATTTCTCTGGCTGCTTTCTTCCCTGCCCTCCTTGAAGAGGATAACTTGCTCGGAGATGAAGGAGCCATAGCTTGCACAGACAAGCTGGTGCCCCTGGGAGGCAGGGTCCTGCATGTTCCTCTCCTCGCTGCCCCTGTTCCCTGGCCAAGCCATAGTCCCCCAAGCCTCCCCAGGGAGGAGAGGGGCAGCTGGACACCGAGATGCAATGTCACAGCAAAACCACAGCTCTCCACACTGCCAAGTCCTTCTTGTCCCCTATATCAGTGCCCTACTGTTCTTAGGAAGCTTGCACGGATCAGAGGGAAAGTTCCCCTCCAAGAGGCGGGAAGGATGGTGTGGACAAGGAGGGTGACACTGGGCTCTGCTGGGGACAGACCTGCTCTCAACAGTGGAGAGGATGGGCAGGAGTCTTCGTGCTGGTCTCTGGTCAAAGCGCTGCCAAGCTGACTATGTCCTGAGCCCAGAAAACTTTCACGTCGGAGCGGGTAACCGCGCCGGCCGTGTGGCAGGTCTGTGATGTGGGCGGTCATCCACCAAAGGCCAGGATGAGATCACCCGTCCCCGAGGCATGTATGCCTGACCTCACCCTTCTCTGTCATTTCTTGGCCACGGAGTGGTTATTATTTCCAGCCCTGTCCTTTTGCAGTGACATTGCGATACCAGGATTGCAGCAGGAGCCTTGTGCCTTCAAAGGGCTCAGAACGTCAGCAGGATTTTATCTGCTGGGTTTTAGGTTAGGGCAGGATTCATCTCCTCCTCTTAGTATGCATTTCCCCAGTTCTCTGTTCACATTCACCTGCTCAGTGTTAAATGAAATAAACAGTAATGTCATTAAAATAATAAACCTAAATTAGATCCAGACATCCCTCAGTGGCTCGGAACTTGCTCTGCATACCGGCATCGGCTCTGCCGGGCCCCCATCCCCAGATAGGAGGGTTTAAAAAAACCTAAACACAGCCTGAGCTCTGCACAGCGACTTAAATGTCAAGTGGTAAAAGGGAGGAAATTCCCCGCAGCCCACTTCCCTCTGAACTCTCCATTCCCTGCCTCCAGCCACGCAGCAGCTTCCTGGCTACGACACATTTCCTTATCCCACACCCCCTCTCCACTGCAGGAATTGCTAAATACAAACTCATACGGGTACAAGGAGCTGCCTTGGGAGCAGAGCCTGAGCTGGGCATGGTCGTGGCCAGCAGTTTTAATTTAGGATGGTACAGGGAGGTTCATGGGGCATGCTGACTGTAGCACTTAACCGGCAAGAGCTGCTCTGCGATTCTCACTGCTTATTTGTGTAATACTTAGCAAAAGGGAGCTTTGGTCTCTTCTGAGCTACTGAGACATGAAGAATATTATCTGCCCAGCGTTACGCTGTGATTCCTATTAGGGATGGTGCTCCGCAGCTGAACCGAGCCACGTACCACGTGTGGAATTTTAGTTATGTTACTGGAAGAAATGAGCCAAGATCGCGGCCGGCAGTCATCAGTGAAGATACACCAGAGATAAATTTCTCCACTGAGACACTGGCCCCGACAGTTTTGCTGGCTGTACAGGACCGAATTTCCAATCCTAAGCATTTTGACAGCTGTGAGCGTGGCTGCAAGAGGAGCATGTCCCAGTCGCATGACTGGAGATGGTTGCAACTGACCTTGCTGAGACTCGGTGTGGTGGCAGGGATTCCCTCTTGTCTCCACTCTGCCTTGGCCTTCCTGGGGGGCTGCTTGGACCATCATGATGCTTGCATCATCTTCCCTATGAAAAAGCAGAATAACATCCCTTGTTTCCATTATGGGGAGGAGGTACTGTCACCAAGCTAAAGGGAAGTGTGGGGAGCACTGTGAGATGATGCCAGGAAGGTTTATAAAAGTGTACCGTGTTATTCCTCCTCCCTGTGCCAGGACTGACAGCACATTCTCAGCCTGTGGCTGGGGCAGGATGATGGGAAAAGACCTTCCCACCTTGTTTCTGGCTGCAGATCTCTGGATGAGGCCAACAGAGATGGCAGAAGCTGGTGTTACTGTCCACAACATGTTATTTGCTCAGCCACTGCAGACCACTAGCCACAAATCAGCCTGTGGCTTAAAGACTAGGGTGTTTTCTTAGCCTGATTTATGGGGCCTTGCTGTCTGCATGCAGGTTATTTTTAAGGCAGAAGAGCTTTTAGACAGATGCAAGGGAAGACATGCAGAGTTTGATGGTATATGATTGATTTCAATGCCTTCTATTCATGGTAATGTTTCATTCCCTCTCTGCAGGATGAACAGAAGTGCATAGAAACAGTGGAACTGGAGAGTTATGACAAGTGCCAGGAACTGCGTGCGCTACTAAAGAAGAAAAACCGTTTCATTTTAATCCGCTCCCCGGGTAAGAAGGTAGGATTGCCTTTCTCGTCACCCTCAAGTCCGCTACCTCCAAAATGAGTTCCCAGGCAGCTGCGCCCAGAGCAGATGAAAGGCTCTGAGATTTCGCTCTTTGGGAGCTGGGAGAAATGACCTGTAGCGTGAATGGTTTACGGTGTGTAAGGAAGGAGGAATGCC